TGATTGTGCAGGACCCTGTTGCTTTTGGTTCACTCGCATGCTTTCAGCATTAATTCGTTCACGTCACTTGACTAAGGCTACCTAAGGTAACTGCTTATGGATGTTTCCTTTTCTCCACCTCAGCTTAATATAATTAATCTGAAATCACTTGATGTAAGAATGGATATTCAGATGCATTTACTCTGCCAGCCCACTGATCCTCTCTCACGAAAGCTTGGATGCTTTTCGGCTGAACATAATGGATGGTTGGGCTGATGAACATTTGTTCACATTGGGATGAAAGTCATAACTTTAGTTCCTATCTGCTTTGCACTAATTAGCAGGACAAACAAGAACCATTATAATATGACTCATCTATAAATGAGCTGAAACTGTAATTGACAGTGGTTTAATAACGGCACATTTACATGGAGCGTGTGTTCATGGGCTGGATGTGTGTCATATTTTGTCTGTGTCTTCGTTTTTTGGGTTAATCTCTGACCCACGGCCATATTTCACAGAGCGTCCGTGTCCTGCTTACGACCGTGTCCTCTGTCTCCTCTTCTGTCCTTTCTCTCTGGCACCAAGGCCTTAATGATGACGCAGGGACAGCAGAGCAGGAGGGGGACTCTGTTAGCACTGATTCTAGACTGGAAGATATATTATTAAATAGATACAATTTACAAAGGATATTAAAAGAGGTCTGCTTTACATTTGAAAAGGTATCTAATGGTATTAGACATAGATATTACAATCCCTCAGATTGATAAAGAATTGCTAAAGAGAAAAGCTAAAACCAAAGGTATTGAGTCCTTGCATGATGTCTGACCCTCTGATCGAATAGGAAAGCATGTGGGTGGGGCTGGAAGAACAGTGAGAACTGAGAAAGACATGGTACAGAAGAGTGTCTGGTACAAACAGGGAGTGTGTGGGGACAATGATGAATCCCTTGCTGCCATTTGCTGGTTCAAAACACACAGATTAGGCCATTTGGTCAGAACAGAAGTCTGTATTGAAGGGTATGACGTTGTCCCTTCTGTGAACTGAATCACTGTATATGTGTTGGTGAGAGAGAGAGAGAGTGAGAGGGAGACAATCTGTCAACAGACGTCATAGCTGGTGCGTGTGCGCACGCAAATGTAGGTGTGTGAACTTCCTGCTCAGACTCTCCACCAACTGTTCAGGATGCTCACAGTACCCAGTTGTCATAGTGACAGGGGGGAAGCGAGAGGAGACCGCTCATTGCGCCACCTGATTGTGAGTGTGTATGCGTGAGAGAGAGAGAGAGAGAGGGAGAGGGAGAGAGAGGCTAGAAAGCAGACAGAGTTGCGCAGGAGAGATGGAGAGACAAGCTTTTTGCTGTGATCAGTGTTTTCATCAGTAGTCTTGTTCTCTAGCTGCTGTGTCGTTGGGATTGCTGATATTTTGCCACTCGTGCTCTCTCACTCTTATTTATTCACTTGAATTCTCTGCTTAATTGCACACACACATTCAAACCTGAGTGTGCGTACACACACACACACTCACACAGGGCTGCGTGCTGTGGCTGTGCTAGTATGGCAAGATGCTGCTGTGCTGTGGCATGTGTATGAGGTCGGGATCCATGTGTGTTGATGCCCATGCAGTCTTTGACACACACACTTGATGCCTGGTGCCTCTGACAGGCTGAGGGACATACAGTAGGCCTGACCAGGGGCCCTCCATGCCATGGTAAATACCTCTGCTTAGAACTTTGCCTGTAGTTAGCCTGTGAAACCAATCAGTATGAGGCAGGAGTGTGCACATTTTGTTGCAAGGTTAAGATGCTTATAGTGCCAGGTGACTGTTTCACACAGCAGAATGTGAACATTTGCTAGTTCAGGAGTCCGACTTGTAGTCTGGAGTGAGGAGATAAAACATATATCATATTTTTGCAATGCTTGAATTGACTGGAAATGTGTTTTGGCTTTGCTGTAGTTGTCTTCAGAGGATGAATGTGTCTTACCTGATTGCAGACCTTGCCACCTTGATTAAGCTGGAGGGGTGAGCTCTCTTCTCCCCCTGCAGTCTGCCTGTGCATGTATTTTTAAGTGTGTGTGTGTGTACGCTGTTCTGGCTCTGCCTCTTCTCCTGCTGGCTGTATTCCCTTAAGCAGTGACTCTGCGTAAGCAAGAAGTGTGTATGTGCGTGCTTGCGTGCGTGCCGTGGAGTATGTTTACTTCTCTGTGCGTGTGAGTGCTCGTACTTGTGCATGAGCCGCATTATCAAATTGTTTCAGACAGACAGTGAACACGGCATCACAGTAATGTAAGCACGTAATGAACAGAGAGATAGTCAGGGAGAGGAAGGAGTGAAATTGAGAGACAGAAAGTTTATGAGATGGAAGGAATGAGTGAAAGTGTAAACTGATGTCTGCCCTCTACACAATTGAAACGGGCTGATGTTTTGTATCCTTATAGAAATGCTGTATTACTGTGTCCATTCCCACTACATGGTGTTGGTGGGGTGATTGAAACAGTAGATTGTGTGAAGAGAAGTGTGAGGTCTGTATTTGACAGGTAATGTGACATTCTCCTCTTTGTCACTTACTCTCAGCACATCTCTCTCTGGCTCTCCATGTGTCTGTGGTCCTCTTGATATCTCTGAAACAGGTTGTCTCTCTGTCTCTGTTCCTCCCCTGAGCTGCAGTGTTTACTGCTGTCTGCCTAAGATATTCAGTAACCACTCTGCTCCCCACTGGTCCTCATCTCCTCAACATGTTTTATAGAAAATGGTGTTGTGTTTTACCAGCTGCCATGATGTCGATGAAATGGTGATTTAATGGCAACTTGAAACAGAGCTTAAAAGGGCATATTTATTCTGCGCCTGTGGTGGCCAATGTGTGTGTTATTATGAGCAAGCAATATCCCTAATTCACTGCTGTCCTTGATAATGATCATTAATCTTTTGTATGTTATTGTATACAATTATTGTCTAAGTACAATGAAACTAACTCAAGTCATAAATTAAAGAAAAACAGCTATATTTTATTCTGATGATTGTTTCCACAAATAAACCGTAAAGTACCAGTTGATGTCATGACATTTGTTTGTTTGACCAGCAGTCTGAGAAGATATCTGTTTCAGACGAGGACCAAGAAAAAGAAGACAGTGGAAAGATAGAACCAGAAACTATTTTGTCATTTTGCTTCATAAATACCTTGAATTATTAACAATTGTTAAAATTGTCACTGGTTAGTTTTCGGTTGCACAACTGTTAATATGTAAATGAACCTGTGAAGGGCATGAGTGCATGAACCCAGTTAAGATACCCCCCCCCATCATTCGTCAACACTACACCTGGCATTCTATTGGTTAGGGAATTTTGAGGGCAGAAAAATAATCAAAGCGCAGAGGAGAATTCTGAGAACAGATGTTTCACACACGCACAAAATCAGCGTGAGAGCGAGAAGCGCTGAAGCTGGAGCACTGGAAAGTACAAAATATCTGAGTGCAAGCGCATAGTTTGAGCAAAAACAGAGTAAAGAACAAGCAGGGAGTGCAAGTGCAGGGCTTTGAGTGAAAGCATTACAAAATCTGAAAGTGAAATCAATAAATCCTGCTCTCAAGCTGAAAGGTCATGCACTTGAATACATTTAGAAAAAGAAAAACCCCTTCATGTATCTTTATGGTAGGGGAAGAGTTGTGTGTTGGTTGCCTGTAACTTCATATTGAAATTTGATGAAAGAATTCCTGCTTGACCGAATGTATTTAATCCTCAATTGAATGGCAGATTTGTACTGCAAACTGAAATGAATACAATATCATGTCTTTCAATAGTTTGTTTAGTGATCAGACCAAGAAAATCTGCTCTATGTTCTCTCCCAGTTTATTTCTGTCTGTGTGGTGTTTCTGTGCTGCAGTGAGAGTGCGAGAGTCTAGTCACACTTGACCATCTGGAGTCTTGTCTCTTTGAGACATCTATGTTTATTTGTGACCACTCAATAGCAATGCAGTAAAGCAACAAATAGAAGAAAGACTTTAAATATACTGAAATCTTGCTTAAAATGTGCTTTTCTGCTGTCAAGTCGTCTCCCACTGAGCTGGTGGACACACTATGAAAGAAAAACACATTCGGTGCCAGCAGGTGGACACAGATACACACCAGATGCTGTTAGTTGTACATATTCAGTACACTGTGCTCTGGATACTGGCTACCTTTGTACAAACTGTTTCATATTGCCCCTGTCTCACATATTAACAAGCCTACAGTGGTTTTATGTTGTACTATGCAAATGTGTTAATCAATTTGCAATCAATAATTCAACACCTGCAGAGTATTCAGCAGTTGAAAACAGCCAGACACAAGCATCCTGTCTCCCCTTTCATGTCTTTATTCCTTGTTTCTTATTATCTGAGAGGAGGAGGAGAGTACCTGGTTAAGTCTTCTTCACTCCGCATGGTTAAACCTGCAGATATTAGTATTTGAAAGCTTTCACTTCATAAGGTGGCAGACACATGCCCCAGACAGCATACAGCAGGACAAGGACATGTCCTAAGGACTTTCTCTGAGGTTTATTCTCTTTTATTGTCTGACGTGAATGAAACCACATGATACTTGCTGTAAGACCAAACACTATGTGTGGAGAGGTTTGTCAGCTGTTCATCGTGTGATCATCCGTGAGGTAAAAGAATAACAGATGCTCTTATATGATCTTATTCTTGCCTGAAGCAACAGTTGCTGCATTTGTTTGCTACGCAGTCAAATGATTTGTAAAAGGAAGACAGTGTTTTTATAAATCTACCTGCTCTTTTTGTTTAACCACTGAATACATTTTTCTTCATTCATCCTTTCACTCCAATTGGTAGAATACCACAAGTTCACTGATGTTGTCACAGCGAACTTTTATAGGTTCCTGACCAATTTAAATTTGGTCGAAATGCTTCAAAATAAGGTGCAGGAACCAGAACGGAACCTGGTCCATGTTGGTGGAAAATGATTAACTGTGCCTCTCTCTCTATGCATGCCCCTCTACCAATCATGTCTCTCCTTTCTTTTTACAGGAAGAATGCAAGCAAATCATGGCACGTCAGAAATCTAACAGCCAGTCAGATTCACATGATGATGAGGTTTCTCCCCCACCGCCCAACCCAGTCGTCAAGGCCCGTCGCCGCAGAGGAGGGGTCAGTGCCGAGGTCTACACTGAAGAGGATGCTGTCAGCTACGTACGCAAGGTCAGCCTTGATAGAGTAATGCATAAGCAAACATCTGTGACAGATACACACCTGCACATGCTTGAATATGCAAAATCATCAACATGTTGACACAGACACTTCCAGTCAATGGATATTATCTATTATAAAATGGATGAATCCATATTTTTGCTGCCCAAAGCTTTTAGATGTATCATACACAATATACGGGAAAAATAAATGAAGCTGGGGACCGCTAAAATATCAGCTCTAAATACTGTTTTGAAGCCTAGTGACATGGCCAAGAAATTGTCTTTCCATGGGGGAAATCTGGCTGGTGTGTTTCAACTCTCTAATCTTTTACCCCTGATACAACAAAATCAGAAGGTAAATTTATACCTTTTGGTTTTACATATGCTTGGAAGCACTTTTCATCCGTGGTTTCTATGACAACCTGACAATACAATATGGTTGACAGGTGAAAGGGAAGTAAAGTTAAAATTTATTTCATTTATTTATTTAAATTTATTTTGTAAAGGGACTTTTTTCTCATTTTGGACTGTGATGCTCATGTCAGTCACCTTGCAACCTGTTTAATAGAGCTACAGGAGGGTGCTATTTTGCCAGAAACTATAACTCACCTTTACACACACCCACACCCTAGTCGCTATTTCATTACTGTGCTTATTCCATTGTGATTTACTTGAGACACCATTAATTGCTGGGTAATGACAAACGCCATGAACCCAGTCACCACGGTGTAATCAGAAGACCACTGAAGCATGCGGTGTGTGTGAGAGAGAGAGAGTGAGGTGTGTGCCTGAGGTACTTGCACATATCGAGATGCAATTGTGTTTATGACTTGGACAGCTTTACCAAACGTGTCATGGCAACAAGCTGCGCCATCTCCAGCACCCCAAAAGTATTTTCCATTTGAAATTGCCTGTCTTCCTCAATCATAGTTGTTAAACCATTAGAAATCTCTATTTCCCCCCCAATTGGCTAGAGGCTAAATATGTTTTAGCATTAGCCTGGTGGGTTAGAAAGGGCGAGTGATTCAAAAGCTGATTGCAAGCTGGTAACAAGCTGATTCCCCTGATATTTAATGATCCACAGTGCAGGAAGTGGATCATGTGATTAATGGTTAGGATGCTGACCTAAAATCTGAATCTAAAAAGTTTCTACTACTGAGCCTCTGGGTGTTTGTGCGCCCTCCTCCAACTGAGTTTCCAGGCCACAACAGCCTCTTTCTGTCCACTGGTTAGCCAGGCTAAAGCAGTGTAAAGAGATAAAAAGATGTATTCTACATGTGATGTGGTTGTGTGTGTGTGTGTGTGTGTATTTGTGTGCATGTTGTGCAGCCCTGCATGGTCGTCTTTATGTGGAGACATCTGTTGGTATAACGTAATTACAGCCTACACGCTCCTCTCCACCACCACCAGAGACAAAACATGTGCACACTTATATGCACACGCACGTACACACACACACACACACACACACACACACACACACACACACACACACACACACTCCTGTCTCTCTCAGTTTTGAAAGGATTCATTCTCTTTCCTCATCTCTGTTACTGTTTACCTTTCTCACCCCACGGTAAAAGGAGCTTCTCTTCAAGGATGCCTCTTTATAAATACCGACTTATGTGGCTTTGTTGTGGCTACAGACTTTGCCATTCCCTCATGATCACACACACCGCAGTCTGGGACATGAAAATGCATGTTTTATGAATGAGTTCAGGCCTCTTGTGAATTTTTAAGGGCCGCATGCCATTTTGAGTGTAATCCCTGAACAGATGGGCTTTCCCAAAAATACACAGACACATATGTGGGATATTCCTTTTAGAGTGTGCCAATACGCTGCTCTTTAATTACTCAATTTAGTCTGCTTTTGAATTCAGGGCTATTATGTATTTCTACTGGGTTGTTTCATATGTCCACCTGCATAGTGTTGTTGCAGTCCACTTTATTATAATAGATGTTACTGCTTTGTCTTCTTAGGTGATCCCAAAGGACTACAAGACCATGACAGCCTTGGCCAAAGCCATTTCCAAGAATGTGCTGTTTGCTCACCTGGACGACAATGAGAGAAGGTACAAAACATTTTTGACCCTAATAACTTCACATCACATGGTCCTGAGTATGTATTTGTAAGTCAATAAAATAAGGCAGAGGCCCTTGTTCCTGTTGAGTCTATTGCCCTTGTGGCCACTGTGTGCCAGTGTTGCCTGCTTTGAGAGCATCCCAAGTCTGCGGAGATACCGACAGAGAGAAAAAGGGGTTAACATGGGGAGATTTGGCTGAGGAGGTGGCAGCAGCGAAGGGTGGGTAAGGGGACAACTGGATGTGTCTGTTTGTGTTGTTAGTTGTTATAGTAACCTATGGATATCATGTTGTGTATATACTGTATATGGGCGGTGTTGCACCAATACATTGCTCAGAAGTAAAAAAAAATTCTCCATAATACTTTAGAAGGAGAGAGAGAGATGCCAATTCCACTCTGTCCCTCCCTTTTTTCTTGCCATCTGCTCCTATTCATTGTTCTTTCACATTCCTCCTCTCTTCACCATCCTGTCTCTATCCTTCCATCTGTCCCACATCTCCACTGATGAGTGGGTCTGGCTCTGGCAGTGAAGGGGGTGTTGTGGGAAAGGCTCTCAGGTGGCTGGCGGTCCCGCCCGCCAGCCGGAATAGTGTTTCATTGGCGGGGAGAATCCATTATGTCCCATGGAGAAGAAAACACCGGAGCTTTCCTGTTGGCTAAAGCCTCCATAGACCAAACCCAAAACACACTCTTTCCAGTCTTTCGTCAGCTGACAATTTACCGTGCTCCCTTGGCACAGGCTCACAGGCCTCTGATTACATGTCAGTGCCCCTGAAGCAGCCCCGAGCAGAGTGCAACATGTGATAGATTCGGACAGTCTGAAAAACTATGTACTTGGGTGGCTGATGTGGCAGATTAGAGTTACACCACAAATATATGTGGCACTAGACCATAAACCATCAGGTTTTAATGCACCCAAGGTCTTTTGGCATGCTCAGCTATGTAATGGCGGTGTCGTCAGCCCATGAAACCATGCATGATGTCGAATTTATTCGACTGGCTGTCATGTTTGCTGTCTCGCTACACTGGGCTAGCATCAACCATTAATGCTTTGCACACAGAAATTCGTTGTTGTGGTATTTGTGGGTGAACATGAAGCTAGCAATTCAGACGGCTCTTAGCTAGTGAAAACCTCATCTAATTTACTGGATTGCAAGAGGAAATGGCAGATAGTTGGCTTTGCCTTCTTCCTCTAACTCTCTGTTGCTCTCTCTCAGCCTCCCTCTCACTCCTCTGTTCTTCCTTAACTTCCAGCTGATGGTGCTGGACGGCTGGCTGCTTGGCTGGCTGGTGGCTTGGTCGCACTGCGGTTGTGTTGTGGTTGTTGTGCCTGGAGCTACAACAGACAGAAATATATTGATGTATAGCGAATGTGGTCCTTCAGCAATAATGACAAACAAAGGAGCCAGCTGGCCTCACATGGCTCCGTAGATGTAGAGTACACCACATGATCTCATGAGTAAGGCTTGGCACAAAACTATGCCTGAGAAGGTGCATGTGTGATTTCTGCTCTTCCTCAAATGTTGGTGATATACAATGTAATCTATATGCCCGTTGCTACTAGCAACACAACAGAACATGAAGCTGAAGTCAGCTTTAGAGTAAAAATTTTGGCTTGTTGATGCCCTCTGTCACTGGCATTGATGAAGTCACGGTATAAAGTACTTTGGCTTCTTTACATGTGCCAGAACTGTCAAGCACTGACGCACATTAGCAGATGGAGTATGATTGCCTGATCCTCCCTTTCTGCATCTCACTCCTTCTCTCTTGCTCTCCCTCGTTCTGCAAACAGCTGGGTTATCGGGCGTTCTTGTGCATGTGGCCTGTGAAGAGGTAGTGACAGCTGACTGTTGCTTCTTGACAGCAGGAAGAAGAGTCAGTGTGAGCATCACGGCATGACAGATAGTTAGATATGGCGTTGAGCTGTATGTCTTGTTTTTTCAATTTTGTTCAATTATTATTTCTGTCTCTTGATTGAGGGCTTTGTGTGTCAGACAGAAGGAGGAAAGACAACATGATACTGTAGCTGTGTGTGTCAAGGAAACATCTTGTGTGAGTAGTCATTTCAACAGTTATGTAAGATGAACACCACACGATTTGTTCTCCGATTAGCACTAAATTATGTTGTCAACCCCTTCAATAATAAGAACAATCAAAAAACAACAAAGCCTTCATGGTTTCCCCTTCTGTCTCCAATGCCCTCTTTTTCGTCTCATTACGTTTTTTTCTTTGTAGCACAGTTTTTTCTTATTCTCTTTCACCCTGTCTCTCGCTCATAATCTATCTCATCTTCTTAAGTTACTTATTTTCCCTTTTAGGAATCCAGGGAGCCTGTACTGGCTCTGTATTCAGTGCATTTTTACTGAGCTTAATAACGGACATGCATCAACAAGGCTCCCTTTTCTCTCGCTTTCTACTTTCTAATTCTCATTTTTTCCTCTTAAAGGGTATTTTTTCTGCTCCAGCCATATATTCTGCTGTGTTTGGGCATGTCTGTGTGCAGTTTTCTTTTACATCAAAATCCAATCCCAAACTTTAAGTGATAACATTTCTAAAATGTTGCCTACACATTTTAAAATATAAAATATTAATGTTTTGGGTAAAGTCCTCACCCCTTGACTCGTTCTATAACAATATGTTGTAATAAATGAACTTCACGTGTTGACTTAGTGTGACTTTTGTATAGAGTCCATATGCACACAGCTGGTTAAATCCCTATTGATACAGCTCTAGAGGATGGACTCATAATATGTGCCATTGTTGCCTGTCTGAGGCATAACAATATGTATAAATCAGTATTGGTAAATACAACTACTTTTTCCAATGATTTTATAAAGTAAATCTGCCTCATTAGTCTTCTGTTGGATCCACAAGGGCATCAAAGCAGAATATTACTTCATGTTATATCCTGGAAGCTTCCTCAGCTTCCATTGTCACCAAAGTAAAACATGTCAGTGTTTATATTATAGTTAGGTATTGTAGTTTTATATTTTATCTGGTATGGTGATTAAACATAAACTGAACTGTCTTCTGAATGGTTTTAAATTAGTCTTAACGCTACTAACTTGTGAAACTGAAACTTTTGTCTTCCTCCATAAAACTCAACTAAACAAAACACTCTTTTGGGTGATTAAGCAAACAATACCAATGGAATTTTTTGTAAATATTTTGTTTTGTTATATTGTTTCTCGCAATTTTGAACACTGCCTGTAAATATATGAGCAGAAGTTGCGATGAAGATTGAGGGACCAAAGTCTAGAAGAGAAGAACAGTATGAGGCTGCTGTGCTTTACAGATACAAAGATAAGGAGACACTCTCTTCATACAGGCATACAAATACCATAATCACTACAAAGGAAGACCTGGATTACATTATCATGAATGTGAAACACACACACACACACACACACACATTCTCAAGAATGCATGTCAGACTTTGTTCCCTTGTGCGTCTGTTCCAGCTGGGAATGTGGAGTCTTTGATTAACACACCATTCCATATGTCAAACTTTATGGCCTGTAAGTTTTGGAGCTCCACCAGCCGTGTGTGTGTGCTGCCTCAAAGTGAAACCTTAATATATTTTGCTGATTTCAGTAAAATGATCATAGAGTGTAGTATTTAGATTTATATTGCACTAATTTACATTCAGTTTTAGAGATATTTTGCTTTGCTGGTTAAAAAATATAATCTAGGAGGGAATGAACACGTACTGCACCATCAGAGGGCAGTATGTCTGTGTGTTTATCTTTTTGACCTTGGCTGGACTCTTACCTGATGTCTGAATATCCGCCATGTTGTAGCTCCTAGCAGGCTACAGGGTGGAACTCCCTGTTCGCTGCCCATTAGCTGCCATTGATGACCTCATTATGATGTGCACATAAACTCACGCACGCACACTAGATAAGCTGGGAACAGGTGTTTGATTTCATACTGTACTGAGCTGGGGTTTCTAACATCCAAATCAGCCTGCAACCACCTGTCTCAATACTGTAACCGTACAGTGGTCGTTATCATATCGACTGAAACTATTATCTCATCTTTCCACCTGGATGTCTGATTATTCAGTTTTGGTTACTTTTATCACACAGCACTTACAGATGACACTTTTCAGATAATAGGCTTTGATAAGAAAATAGCAGGACTGATAACAGAAATATTCATGTAATTATCACTTGCATCAATATCTATATCATAGATATCTGGCCTCAGTCAAATTGTCAAGTTTACAGGTGTTTGTGCGTATATCCTTGTGCACATGTGCATGCACATACAGCCTGTTTGTCCAGGTGTGCCCTCAGGTGAGATTTGCTGGCCTATCTCCCCACCACTTCCCCCATTAAATGCCCATTTTGAGATAGTCTTTTAATATGGTCAACAGTAGCACTATCGCCTGGTTATTCTTGCACTTCTAACTATAATAGTGTTTGTTATCTAACTTCCTACTTAAGTGATATGAAAATTAGACCCCTGATAGCAGCAGGCCCTATATGCGTAGGCCTGTTTTTGGCAGATTTCGTGCACACCTGGATAAATGACCTTGATGATCTCCTCTTATCGTATGTATGAGCGCAGCAGCGGAGAGAAGGCAGGGAGGAACAGACACAGGAGCAATTCTTCTGGCAAAATCTGGCATTTACTTTTCCCTTGACACAAACAAAACACTTAAAAATAGACTCATAAGCTCAACAGGTTGTATTCTCCTGTCTGCCTGCATTAGACTAATGCCCTCATACCACAAAACACTCTCCTGGTGAGACACGAGAGGCTCTCTGTATAACCACACTGTGTCTGGCAGACATGGGGAAACCCTGTTAATCTCATTCCTTGAGCTGTCTTCACTGAGTTTGCAATACTGTAAAATAACATTTCCATCTGGTAAGAAGAGTTGTTACATTTTTTCCGATCGGGACCAAGTTGTAAATCAAGCAAATACATGACTTCATCTTTAATGTGCAGAGGCCGTAATCCTCAAAAACAAGAAAGCGCTCT